CCCAACCGCCAACCCCCAACCCCCAAACACGGAGAGAGATCCATTTAATTCTGCAGAGATGAGTGGAAAAAAGGTCCACTTGCGCCATTCCGGAAAAGCCGAATATTTAACAGGAATGGAATTCATCCACTTTACGGGCCACTCGTCAATCCAGCACTTCCTGTCTCCTTGGCCAATTCCGGCTGATATGTACTTGGCGACGTTTCCATTTGGTGAAATGCCTCCAGCCTCCAGCACTGTTAGCTACACCCTCGATCTTCCCTGCACTGAGTAATTCCTCTTACAATTAGTGTTTCGCGAATGTTAATCTGCAGGTGAGTTAAAGGCCAGAAGGTGAAAGTAGTATTGGCGTAGGTAGCGAGGGTCTCGCCCCACGGGACGAAATCTACGTTGGGCAAAGTAGCATTCGCGATTAATAGCAATGTAGTAGAAGGTAATTGGTCGATGGAGCCGAGGGTGTTTCACTCTTTTCCAGGTCACCCGATAGGGATGAATCCATACGTTAAGAAGAGATTGCGACACGAGAGGCTGTAGTTCCTATTTAGGAACTCGCGAGATTCTCCCTTGTTTGCCGTTTTACAAGAAACCGGAACGTTCGTCTCGTATTGTTTTCTCGCATAATAATTAAGGTGTAGGTGTAGGTTTTCGGATAAGACGGATGTCAAGAAGGGGTTGAGCACTAACAGCCTCCGGTGACTTGGCGTGGAAGGGAGTTTCAGGAAGGGGCAGGATCGAGGTCGTCGCCTTCAAGTTTCAGTGGATCCTCTTTTGTCTCGAAACAAGACGCAACGGCGTCGCGAGGCGTCGCGAGGCGTCGCGAGGCGTCGTCAGGTGTCGCAAGGAGTGCCAACTGAAATGACAATCAGTACCAGACTGGCTGACAACCCCTTGAAATTTCATTGTTGATATTTTGCATCGTCACCCTAGTATTACCTTCAACATCATAATCACCAACGATAGTAGGTTCTGCTCTCGGGTTCTTTGAGGTGTCTTATCCTCGCACAGCGAAAAAATGAATAGTTGTCATTACTAGAGCAATTGTTAGTAATTATATTTCGACGTTAACACGTGCCAGTGACTTACATGAAAGACGATAACACGAGAAGTCAAAGTAAACGATCATTGACGTCTTATGTAGGTTACGTAGGCCAGGAGAGTCTTGTTTACGCAGAGGATACCTTTCCCACGGGGCAGATTGTATCGATGCTATCGCGACTAGCACTGCTTCTGTACTATAGTTTCAGCATCTTCCTACGGTTTACTTAGTTGCGCAATTATACTAAGCCGAAGCGATTCCTGATGCAAGTGAATTTAGCTTTGGAGGTCTGATGCTTTGAAGTCATTGGCCACCTCGCGGGATGCAGTGAAGAATTTCAATCCGCTAGCAACCTTAGTCGATGCCTATCCTAAATAACGCTGCTACTTTTTTTTTATTGGCATTGCTGTACACGTATAAGGTCTTCCTTTCTGTCGAAATCCTAGTACGTCTTATGGCGAGACATTCCTAACAAATTTCATAAAATGTGTCGCTCCCCATGGAATGCAAAGACGTAAGGAACGAGAGGCGTGTACTGCGTATAGCGTTAAGAGGAGAAAAATGGAAAATGGAAAATTTGGGAATAAAAGGAAAAGCATGGAAGAAGAATGAGAGGTATGGCAAATAGATAAATAGAGGTTGCGTAAAAAAAGTAATCGAGTGCTCTTATTCTTCACTCATCAACGATGATAAGGATAACCATTGTTTGAGGTACTTGTAACCAGGCTGCCTGAATCACCACTCTGCGAGCCGCCATTGTTTCGAGTTGCAAGTTATCGTCCCACCATGGGACCATCTCACGGGCATTAGGGAAATCGTCCATACGTTCCGTAATAAAGCTGCCATCCTTTCTGCGCTTTCCATCCATCGATCCGCGCTTTCTTTTTTTCCACTCTCCTCCCCTAATCCCAACGCTGCATCCTCTCGTCGTTTTCTTACGAGCAGAGATCCAAAGAGGCCATTTATTTTTAGGCCAAATAGCGGAATCCCGTAAAGATATTCTTCATCTTGAAATTGAGGTCTAACATCTACATAACACACCCTCTTTCCTCGAAAGACTTGTAAACTAAAACCACCTCATCATCTATTTCAATAGTAGATCTGGCAGTGTAGATAAATTTACTAGCGCATCGATAGGCCATCTTATCTCGCACTGTTAAAACACTTTAACAGCAAAAAGGAATGTGTAGAAGAAATATACAGGGAGAATCACGAATCGTGATCACTAGAGATTACTTTGTTATTAGCAGTCCGATCGAAAATGTTTTTCTCAGCTTTTACATGGTTTCAAGAGAGCTTTAACACGATAGTGAAAAATTACTGGTCACCTCTTTTCTTTTATGTTTTTTCAAGGTTACCTTGAATTTTTGGCAACTGAACATATAATTTTTTTACGCCTATCTGTTAGAGGATTTCAAGACGAATTCGGCACATGTAAGGACATGACATTTTTTCAGCCGGTTCGAAAGAAAATTAAAAAACTTTGTATGACAAGGAGAATCACAGCTACCCCGTTATACGCATCCATTCTGTCGTCTTCAGTCGCCATCAGTGTAGAGGAGAGGCCATGAAGAATGCAAAACAATCTTTTGTTCACCGTCTACGCGAGTGCATTGCAGCTCGCGGACACCATTTTGAACATCGCTACAATTAAGATTGGTAAATTTTGACTTGTCAACAACATTGGTTGCGTAATAACGGGGTAGCTGTGATTCTCCTTGTCACACAAAGTTTTTTAATTTTCTTTCGAACCGGCTGAAAAAAATGCCATGTCCTTACATGTGCCGAATTCGTCTTGAAATCCTCTAACATACAGGCGTAAAAAAATTATATGTTTGGTTGCAACAAATTCAAGGTAACCTTGAAAAAACATAAAAGAAAAGAGTTGACCAGTAATTTTTCACTGTCACGTTAAAGCTCTCTTAAAACCATGCGAAAGCTGATAAAAACATTTTCGATCGGACTGCTAATAACAAAGTAATCTCTACTGAACACGATTCCTGGTTCACCCTGTATATTGATTTCGTAACCATCTTCTCTCATTGACCTGCTTTGCTTCTGCATTTATAGATATTGCATCTGTAATGATCGTCGTGTTGGTGCTGGTACTTTAGTTGCGCATCTTTTATTTCTTCCACTTCTTTGTTGCATCGACTTTTTTCAAACTGTCACAATCTCCAGGAAGTAGCATGTACCATTTTTGACAGGCCCTTCCCCTTTTCTACTTAAACTTTTGACTTTGGCCAGACTGTGTCCTGAACTCTACGTTTATATTACGAGATCATGTCATATTGGAGTTACACGGCGCCCGTAGAACTTTCTTTTGAAAGTTCACTAATTTTATCCTTGAGGCTCGATCGACAACAAAAATCTTTTAGAATACACAAAGGAAAAAGAAGAGCTCGTATAAGAAATAGAGGGTTGCTGCTGACACTCCGAGTTCTATCACTATGTGGCTCTCGACTAAAAGCTCCATTTCCATCGAGCATCGTGGTCATGCTCAGAAATACACGATAGCCTTCAGATATCTCCTACACGTAAACATGTGCACACAACAGCAAGTGCAGGAGCAAGCATAAACTTGGAACCTATGGCTGTAAGATATTCATGCACATACATATGTATAGTGTATACACTCGACTGTAAGATCGTAACGTGTAGAGTTTTCAATATTCAATGAAATTCCAGAATTCACTTAACGTAAAGTATTCGCGCATTGATAGTTACACACATGCGAACCAATTATGTAATGCATAATGCAGATGGAAAAGTAAGTAGGAAAGTGATGCAAAAGAAGGAGGAGTAAAACTCACCACAGGCACCCTTGTGCTTCACTCTCGTATTCTTCCGGCGCTGACAACTGGCCTGACGCAGATGGCAGACGTTCATGTACGTGACGTCGTCAGAGCCGCAAATGGGAGCAGAGTCCGAAGGACATTCAACAGGACACTGACACTGAGCTCGACCATTCTCGGAGACGACGCACGAGGCCCCCCAGGCGCAGAAAGTTTTCTCACATGGTTCTGAAAACAGTGCAAGGAAATTACATTGAAAATCGTCCGGAGTAAAGAAGCAAAGCTTCAAGTATTACGAAACAATCGAAAGATACGAAACAAATGTAGGACAGTGCGCGCCTTATCGGTTGTGACGTACGTTACTTGTGTCTGGCTCGAGACGGATCTTTTCTTTTTCTTTCTCTCTTTTTCTCTCGCTTTCTCTCTCAGGGGATCTCGTTAAGGAGACATACCGACACAATGATAAATGTTCCACGACGAATGGACATCCCTATTTCCAACGCCATAGTAGAATATTGATGGCAACGCATCGGAGGTGCTCGTTACTATACTCCCGTGGCGCGGAAAATCTCCAGACCCAACCTCACCTATCGAGTTCCTCGGGAAAGAAAATCTCACACAGTTGCTAAATAGAAGTGGTTCGTGCATTTTCACTATTATCTCAGAATAATAGAGATGGCTAGATGGGGTACCCTTTTCATTAAGAAATAGGAATGCCGAAACTACCCCATGAAGTTGAAGGAGACTCAGCACTCGTCGAAATTGCGGGATACGAATCGCGCAATCGCAGAATCGCAGAATCGCAGAGAACGCCCGAACGCCCGAACGCCCGAACGCCCGGCAGGCTATGAATTCTCGGATCTGCGTTGGTTACACCGATCCTCTTATTTACAGGATACTGTGTAGAGTTAAATAAAATCGTGGGGACTCTAATAAAATCGTCAGGCACTATCGCTGCCTAGTCTACGTTACGCCTGACATTTTCGTAGCTCTATCGGCTGCTAGTTTTCAGCTAAATGACGCAGGTCAGTGAGTGCCTGTTAAGGTACAATATAAGTTTGTGGGTTTAGTGCGTTCTCGCCTTAACATCAGCCGACAAGTATCAACGTAACCAGGTAACCAGGTAACCAGGTAACCAGGTAGACAGGCAGCCAATCCTTCTAGCGGTGTGCTTAGTTGGGTGCCAGCACCTGGAAGATCGTTACGCGCTACGCCTCTTACTTACCCTCGTAACTCCTTCCTTCTACAGAAGGAGAGAACTATTGGATTCATATTCGCTAAGGATTTTGCAGTTTAACTCTACACGTACAAGCCTATTAATTTGCTAGTCTTCGGGCATGTGCGCGCAGCTTCAAAAGATTTCCTGAAAAATGCTCCAAGGGAACTAAAAGATTTGCGAATTCTTTGGAGGATTTCGAAGATCCTTTCTTGAAATCTTCTTCATTCGTTTCTTCAGGCGATTCCTTAGGAAGTCAGTTCCGGGCGTTCCCGGTAGTGGGAAAGGCGTAATCAATTTCCCGGGAAAGTCAATCCCAGGGCGAGAGAAAGGCTTTCTCTCAGTTTCCGAAACCTTCCCGGATAATCCGTCCACGCTGGTCATTAATATAGTGGACGAGTTGATCCCGCAAAAAAATCACCCGTCTCGAGGCAGCTTGGGTCAATCGGTTTCTCTGTTTTCTCTTCTTTCTCATCTTTTTCTCCTTTCTTTTCGTTCTGCGCTCCATTCGCTCTCAGCACATTTTCTTCATCGAGGAGAAGGCACTTTTTTCCCCTCTTCACATCCTCCCATAGCTTTTCTCACGTTTACCTTCCGGTCAGGATGTCCCTCGAGATCACCCACCGATACGTTATATCTCCATACGAACCTACACGTATGCACCTACTTTCCCTATTGAACGACTAGGTCCATCCTACTTTCGAAACTTTCCATACGTACAGCGCAACTTAATCGAAACTTCACAAAAATACATTTGAGTTTCTCAACTGTAGTTGCGCCAACTTTGATCAATGATCAAAAATAGTTGTAAAATCGAATTATCTTGAAAAGATTTTGTTCCCTGACTTTCGGATGTAGGATTGAATAAGGTACTACATGTCTACTCATTCGATGTAGTTCTACTTCCTCTACTTCCTGTTTAATGCAACAACTGAAACGAGAATGAGGCTATTTCAGCTGCAGGAGCCAATGAGCTCGTTGAAGTATAAGCTGTATTCCAGTGGGTTTTATGCCACACGAGGAGAGTAGCTTTATTACGTAACCGTAAACAGAGCTACGTTAGGTTAGGTAGAAAGACGCGCAACCTGTCGCCTTATTGCGTCAGTAGTAAGGCTCAATGTTCGCCTAGTTCATTAGGGCTCGTACGTTCGATTTTTCTAGACACTCAAACTGAAGCTTTGCTGATCCTAGAAAATTGTAGAGAAATTCTAAATTACTGCTACAACGTCATTTGGAATTTTCACATTTATACTTCAGATTCGTAATCAGCTACTCAAAAAACCTTTGATACCGCATTGAGCTTTACAATATTTCTAACAGGACATGTTCGGGTGGTAATGGACTAGAGTTTCGATTGTTTGCTGATGATCACTTCGAATTAAGGACACTTCCTGACCCTCATTTTTCAGTGTTATTATTAATCGTTTCGATTCCTCCCCCCCCCTCTCTTCTCCCATAAATTTGTATTTCGATCGCAGCGATGAAATTCCTTTGACAAAATTTGACCATTCTGGCAAGGCAGGAAAGCTTTGTGAACGTAGGACGTAGGACGTAGAACGTAGGACGTAAAGAAGGGTGTAAGGAATAGCAGAGTTAACGATACGGACCCCCCAGTCAAAGGGCTACGAAGAATGGCATCCATGCGACTCGTAGACAAGGGTTTCTACCCCTTACAGCTCTAGCTCCCTGGGTTTAAGGTGGGACCCTGAGAAGGAGTGACTTGTCCAAAGTGATGGGGGTGTGAAAGGGGTCAGCCAGCGAAGAATAGTGCGAGCTGGTTTTATTAATACCTTTGACATATAGCCTGTCAGGTTAAGGTCGCGACAAGCAAGGCTGGCAAAGGGAAACGGGGTGAATGGTGGACACCGCGCCTTGTTCGGGAGGCGAATTGAACCTTTAAGTAAAGGACGCCGTGCTTCCTCTTGCCTGTAATTCTCTCTTTTTTTTCACCAAGTAAATTCCCACGTATCGATAGCCATATCTAGCCCCAAGCGATCTCCCGTTCTCCACTTGTAAGAGAGGGTGGTTCGCCTCAGTGTCCGAATATTGATCTCGTGACTGCCCATTCTCACGTTTATGTGACGCAACGATCAACTAGACGTTTCGAGGCTGACGCCTAAGGAGAAGCTATCTGCCCGATCCACCGGCCCCTTGGATAGGAAGCGGAACAAGAAGAGGAAACTTCTTTCGGGAGATCGATAAGCCGATCAGGGCTTATGATTATGTTAACGAGGTTATTATAAGGGAGCAGCTCGAGAGGAAAGTAGAGGAACGCAACGGTACGATCCCTGAAGAAGCCCTTCAGTGTAGCCTTCGAGTTTCAGCCATCCGTCATGATCCGTCTTGTCTGACAGTTTTGGCCAGCAACTGCTACTCCAACTTTTATACTTGAAGAACAAGTATGCTGTTGTGAGCGCGCAGGCACGTGCGTGCGTGCGTGCGTGCGTGCGAAAGAGAGAGAGAGAGAGAGAGAAACATTTTGAAAACCTATCACTACTTATTCCACCGCCGAAGCAAGATAAGTTTCAGTAAAGATAGATCTAGGGAAATTTCAAAGTCCTAAAACTATATGATAAAATTATCCAAAGTTTCCAGATTTCAATGAGAATCTAATATTAAGAGAGATTTTAGTCTTAGTATAAATTTCTAGTATCTATAGACACACTCTGCCAGGCAGATGGGAAGAAATGAAATACAAGTGGATTTTGCTTATTAAACCTTTCTAAGAAAATAGATGTTCTTCGAGAATCATTACATTCAGTTTCTACTGGTTGCTACGCGAACATCAGGTGATGCTCAACACCGTTCTAATTTAGTCAGCGGCTTCCGTTGTGAACACAAAAGATTCACATAGAAGTGACTGCTCGACTGTTTTCTGGACAAAACACGAATAATTAATTCCTTGGTGAATGCCCGGGGATACTTCAGGAAGTATTACTCCAGAATTGATTGTCCAGATTATATAGATTCTTTGAAAAGTAACAATAATAGCATAATGAAACAAAGAACACCTCCATCGAGGAGACTCAATGAGAGAAACAATGTGACTGTACAGTTTTAAGTATTCGATTTTTTGGCAACGGCTAACTGGGGTGGTTCGATTTAAACACCGAGTACCAGGCGTTGACGTCGACGTTGGGCGTCAAGCGAATGTAATTATTTTACACAGGACTTGATTAGAGCCCCAGGGCAGGTGCCGGTACTATATGCAACCCGTAGCAGGCCGATATAATATGCACGCGTACGACAGCGAACATGGTAGAGAACGTGGAGGGTCGGAGGGGGAGGGAAGTTGGGTAACCAACTAGCCGAGGAGTTAGGCAACTAGCTGGTTAGTTGCTAGGTAGTTGGTAGGTAGAACGTAACTGGCTGACTAACTGGCTACGTAGGTAGGAATCGCTACTGACTCGTGACTGCAGACACGTCGGGGAAATATTAATGGCTTGACCGCCTAGCGAATATCTTCCTTACCGACGTCTCGCAATACGCCTCTCACGATATATTTCGGGACTTCGACGCTACGAGAGCAGAATCTTAACGAGAAGACCGAATCCGTCTTTAGGATACCAACCTACCAATTTCTGGCTTTTATTTATCTTATTCCTTTTTTCCTTAACCTTTCGTATTTTCTTGCTATTTCTTTTCTTTCATATAGCCTATTTCGCCGAAATCATAGGGTCGACTGAGGTACAACGTTAGTGGGTACCGAGTCAATAGATTCGCGTCGATCGCCGCACGACCTGTCTTGTCCGGCGGCTGTCGCGTTTGTTGCATTGCACAGCTATGTAGAGGGCGCTATGTAGAGGGTGGCTCCAAGTCACTCGAGGAATGGTACGAGTCGAGTGACTCGTGGCTCCGTGACGCTAGGGATAAAACTCAATTAGCGACAGTTGAGAGGTTAAGTGAGGACCGAACGCAGCAGGATGGTTTGGTGGAAGGTTGCGCGGGGTTCCTGAAGATTTCGAAGGGAGGAATAATATAAATAAGCAATTGTGGATTGCAGAGTAGAGTT